CCTCCCCCCCTCCCCCCCCCTCCCAAAAAAAGGGCTTTGGGGCAAGTTGGAACAAGTGCATTCAGATATCACCAGGACTGAAATGGAGACCAAAGGTAGCCTTACAGGGCTGATAAAGGTCTATGAGGTGTCCTTTTCTATGGTGTATTTCTCTCTTCCCTGAAGAAGAAGCAAGAGCACAAAGGGGTACAGTCTGCATTTTTAGTTCTCTGTAAAGTGCTCTTCAAACAAAACAGAACAAGGCAAAACAAAACAAAACAAAACACAATACAAAAGAGCTGCTTGGCTGCTTGGAGATTCTCAGGTACAAAGTGGAGGAAACCCGGGGTGTGAACAGGTCATGCTGAGGTGGAGGAAAGGAGAGTACTTGGGCGGCATCACTCACCACGACCCCGCGGTACCTGGATGGCACCAGGAAAGAGCTACATCCATAAATTAAAAAGCCTGACCAGTGCCGCGGTGACAGAAGCGGCAGGTAAGCCAGAAACTGGACATGGATGGAAAGAAAACGCCTGGTTACAGAGTTGCGTGGGCCTCTGTGAAGAGCCTGATTAAGTTGTACAAAACCCACTACTTAATTTGGGCACGAGACCCTCAGGTGCCACTGTCTTACGTGTGGCTGAGAAATGCAAGGGCCGAGAAACCGGCCTTGAGACAGAAAGACTTGCAGGTTGAGGTCCGTGTGCCTGCGTGACTGAGCCGGCGACAGGGCTACGTGGCCCCGGGACGCCCAGGGAAAGTGCGGGGTGCACAAGTCGTCAGAAGAGTGTTTTCCCTGGTGGTGAAAGAACATTTTCCCAAGCATTGGGTGCTTCCTCCTCTCCTCTCCTCTCCCCTCCCCTTCCCTCCCCAGTGATCTCTGGATGATGGATTTGTCTAAGGAAAAAAACTGAGAGAGAGAAATGCCAGTTTCATTAATTCTTAAATGTAAGCAAAAATAGGAAAAGCAGTCACCCTATCAACCCTTACCAAACTCTCCACTGTTGTCTGAAGCATGATTATAAGCAAAATGGGTATTGGAGTTGTGTGTATTCTGAACTTCTCTGTGCGTGTGTGTGTGTGTGTGTGTGAGATAGAATCTAGATATTTAGGAGAGCTGGAGCAACATGAGTGGCTTGGCAGTAAGAAGGCTTACATGATAAAAACACTATGAAAATAAAAAAGAAACCTTTCATCGAAGATGCCGTCTATCTTTTATTTCTCAAATTCCTTGTGCCTGTGGTATCATCATCTAATTAAAAATGCAAGAAACTTACAAATGTGAAGAGGCGCCTTCTTAATGATAAGATGACAATAAGAAGACCGTAGCAGCTTATATTCACACTAAGCATGTTAAATGGCCAAATAAGTCCACTTAAAATGTTCTTCCGGTGAGCAAGAAACCATTGTTGAGATGCCATAATTCCCAAGTAAAGAGATGCTCCCAAGTAACTCAACAGGCTTCTCTAGAAGTTTACATAGCCATGTTTATAAATGCAATAAACTTTTAGAGGATGAACATCAGATGTTAGTGTGTTTTCCTAAAAACAATTTATGCTTGATATTTTGGTTCCTGATACAAGGCATTTCTGGAATCATGTGTATTTGCACAATTTGACAATGTTCAGGCCAGTATTCCAGAACCAGGAGCAGAAAAGAGCTAATAACCTTAATAATTTATTGACTATTTTGTGCCTTTATGCCAGACAGTGATAGACAACCCCATGCTATTATTTTACATGAGTTCCTTGTTAGCAAACTAAAAGTCCGTTACACAGACGGCATTGTTCTTAGACGTCTAGGATAAAAGGCATCTACCATGATGTTTCAAAACTTATAAATATATATGTGTTATGTGTGTATACATACATGTACATATATATAAGTATATATATGTGTGTATACATTTATATATGTATGTATGTAGGAATATCTGTCAAGTTCACTTGGGAAAATATCCCAGTGTAAATTGGGCTCACCTAGTGAGGTATCTTGTTGTTTGCTTCTCTTTTTTGGTAGCAGACACAAAATGAAGTTAACTGAAAAGATAATCTTTCTGCTGTCGGAAGCATTTACAAACCTGATCTGGCATGATACACAAGTTTAGGGCTGCACAAATTCACAGAGGCTTTGGATGCAAATGTTTGGAAAAGCATCGACAGTGAGCTATTTAGGAAACACACCCACAGGATAGGTCTAGGTACTGAGATGACTGAGCCAGGGGAAAAGTAAGAAACCATAATGTACCAAAGGACAGCATTATGTGATGAGCATGATAATTCCTTGTAGCTCTGGAATCTGCCCTGGAAACAAGGAATAAACTACATGACATTTCAGGCTCCCTTTCTGCACCAATATAAAATCCAGCATTACTCAAAAGTCCTGGTTACAACAAGAGTGATTAAATGCAGAAACATAATGTCATTCCTTTCTCAGAAGCATCATGCTGAGCACAAGTTGTCAGGTGCAAAAGAATATAGGTTCTATGATTCCCTTGATTTCAAATCCCCAAATAGGAAAAACTAATCACTAGTGACAGAAAAAGCAGATCCATGGCTGTCTGGGGCCAGTGATCTTGGGAAGATTTACTACAAAAGGCTGTGGAGAACATTTTAAGCTTGATGACCATGTTTTATATCTTCCTTTGGTCAGGCCGTGCATGTGTATACATTTGCTGAAATCCAGGGAAAAGTTCTGCACTTAAAATAAGTATGTTTATTATATGTAAAACATACCTCATTAAAGTTAGTTTTTGAAATTGAAAGAAAAAAAAAAAAGAAAAGAAACATGATATCATTCCCTGCACAAACAACAGCTAGGCAAGCTATTTGGATAATGCTCTAAGATATTATGTGGTCAGGTAAACCAAAACGATATATGTAAATCTCTTTCAAGAATCAAAGTACAAGCCCACAAATTCTCAACATAAATTGCCTCGGGAGGGGCTGCTCTGATGAAATTGAAAATGTCTCCTCCATATGTGCAGTTTCAGACTCCATAACATTTAAAGAAAATGTTCTAGAAGATAAAGTTGGCATGTAAAAAGCACGGGCAGAGGAATCAGTAATGATCAGAGCAAAACAATTCTAGAAGGCATCTTAATTTTCATATGGCTCATTTGCATTTGAAACACTAAGAATTCCTATCTCTCTTGTACGGAAATGTGTACATATTAAATTACTTTCCACTTGAAAGAACATTTTCCTAAATGTTTGGAAGATGATCAAATTTTAACTGGAGGACTTGTTTTCTTCCATCAGGTGTGGGGGAGATGTGGCTTCCTGGTATGAGAGGCAACAGTTGATTCTAATAGCAGAAGAAGACAAAAATAAGAAAGTAAATTGAAAAGAATTCCTATTTGTACAGTTTGATTTAAAGATGGTAAAACAAAAAGAATACACACGGTACAAAGATGTCAAAAGACATCAATTTTAAAATCAAATAGGGTTACCTTTCCAAGAATTGTGATATTCTGATACTTGGAAATTAGGTTCCATTACTTATTCTACGATTCTCATGGATATAGTTGATTTATTTCAGGATGTTCATTTTTGAGTATCCAGGCAGTGTTTAAAAGTTAGATGCCCACCAGCTGTTAGACAATAATTCCAAGAGTCTACATTCTACCTATCTCAAAATTTTAATTTTAGGATACTGGCAAAACAGTAAAGATTTAAAACCTCTTTACTATACATTTAAAAAATTTCTAATGTTTATTTATTTTTTGAGAGAGAGAGACAGAGAGAGAGAGACAGAGACAGAGACAGAGACAGAGACAGAGAGTGAGCAGGGGAGGGGCAGAGAAAGAAGGAGACCCAGAATCCAAAGCAGGCTCCAGGCTCTGAGCTGTCAGCACGGAGCCTGATGTGGGGCTCGAACTCACGAACAGCGATATCATGACCCGAGCCGAAGTCAAACGCTTAACCAACCGAGCCACCCAGGTGCCCCATACTATACATTTTAAACAAAATTTAGTCTTTAAGGAAATCGCTGGTCACTCATCAGAGATCTAGATGACATCCAGATAGGAATTTGAACTCACAAAATGAAACCACACTGAATGAAAAGATTTTCTTGAATTTTTATTTTATTTTCTGATATGGTAAAATGTTTAGGCAAGAGGTGCATATCAGAAAGAAAACCGGGACCTGAAAGACATTCCTGTTGGGGCACCTCTGTGGCTCAGTCGGTTAAACCTCCGACTTTGGCTCAGGTCACGATCTCACAGTTTGTGAGTTCGAGCCCCCAGTCGGGCTCTGTGCAGACCGCTGGGAGCCTGGAGCCTGCTTCGGATTCTGTGCCTCTCTGTGTCCCTCCTCTGTTCATGCTCTCTGTCTCTCTCTCAAAATAAATAAATAAACATAAAAAAAAAAAAAAGGACAAAAGAAGGAAAGACATCCCTGTCTTTCTCTTGGCCTTGCCCTCCAGGGACTTTACCTGCTGGTGGAAGATGTTTAGGCTTGGTCTTAATAGTGGGTGCTCTAGAAAGGCTTTCTCATAAAGGGGACAGGATGCAGTTGACTAAACACAGAGAACATGAAGTAACTTCTGTATGTGCTGTTCTTCGTGCTTCTTCTCTTTTTGGAGAAATAAAGTCCCTGAGCTGTATCAGCCAGGCTACAGGGTATTAAGGAATGGAAAACACTATGACCTGGAGACTTAGGAGGCCAGCATCCCTACCCGCTCGAGGCTGGTAGAACTTGAATCAGGAACCCAGGGGCGGGATGGAGCGGTGTTGCTGTTCACCCTCCCGGGTTAAGTGTGGGGAATCTGGTGAGCTGTTTGTAAGGCGACAGTGTTTTTACACACAGTTCACCCTGTATTTCAGACTGCCGCCTCAGACATATTTGAGCAAACCCTACTGTTTTGGTTAAGTAAAGTGTACTGGGCTTGACTTGCAAACACATAACTTAAACAGTAGAAGGTAAAACGGTCTGTGTGGTAAAAACTGGGAAATCATCTTAACATGTCATCTTACTGATTGGCTTGGTTTTTCTCTCTCAACAAACTTCAATTTGAATGAGCCAAAGGCTGAAAACAACAAAACCTGCTTTCTCCCTTTACAGTAGACATGCTAAGGAGAAGATCAATGACCAATAAGTAGATCAAAGGTGGAAGATTAAGTAAACACAGAATGGGATGATTGTCGGTCTGATCAATTGAGAATTACATCCTCACTTATGAATAAGCAGTGTTCATCTATTTACTTCTCTATTTATTTTGGATAATATTTACCAAGTACTATGTGTGGGTCAGACATCGTTTTAGGTGCTGGGGACACAAGATAAAAAGTAAACCCCAAACCAAAACAAACTTACTTCCATGGGGTTTATGTTTTAGCTTCAAGGTTTTTCTGGAACCAGGTAAAAGGTAGTCCCCTAATAAGCTGCAGAGTCACTGTCACGTTCCTCGTGTTATCTTACAATATCCACACATTTTGGGGTAAAATTTGGTTCCCAGGTGTTTGCATTTCTTCTCTTAGTATCTGTCAGAGCTTGTCCTTGATTTTGAGGAAAGCCTAGGGAAGGCGGACTTTGCTGCCTGCCATTGGTAAAAAGACAGGAAGAGTCAAGTTTCCTCTATGGTGTGTCTGGAGGCTACGGAAGGTTCCAGATTCCTCTGTGATGTTGACATTTAGTCCTGCTGTAATCTGGGTTTTATTGTACGAAGTTGTTGTATTTCGGGTACACGATCTGGCAGGTGAGCTATCCAATAGGTGAGCTATCTAATCAGTGTAGCTAAAAGTTGATTCAAGTGTATTTGGAATAAGATTCTGCAATGATCTGGGTATTTTCGTAGTTTTATGGTTTTATTATGCCAATCACTGAAATGTACTAAGATAAACAAATACAACTAAACCAGTGCAAACAAAGGTCTTGGTGTCCACCTGGTCTCACTTTGAAAGGTAGAAAAGGAAAAAAAGAATCATTTTTATAGCATTTTAACTTTTGAACAGAGGTACCTGCTGACGTCTTCTGTTCCTTCCTTCATTGCGTGCTTTTCTTTTAATTTGGTTCTCTCGAAAAGAATCAAAGTAGGGGCTCTCCAGGAGTTGGGCACAGGTTAATCTGTCATCAGGATTCATCTTCAGACACTCCTTTGGAAGAAAAGAAAAAAGGTATTAGAATGTTGTTGCTATTTTCTTACTGTGCCCCCAAACTGAATAACTTGTTAAGAGCAAATAGGAGTTTACAAAATCTTCAAATTTGTGTACCATCAAGTACTCGAAACTTGTTAATAACTAGAATTGCTTTTCTTTTGTCATTCCAAAGTCTTTTGAGGGTAGAAATGAACATCTGGTGTCTCTGGAAGGGGGCGACAGGTAGATCAGGTGTTTCTACCAGTGACAGCTCTTCATCACTCGTCAAAGCAAATAGTTTGTGAGACACTTCAAGTGTGATTCCGAGTATGATCCCGGGACCAGCAGCATCAGTGTTACATGGGAACTTGTAAATGTAGTTCCTGCTGAATCAAAAGCACTGGGGGTGGGGTCTAACCATCTGCATTTGAGAAGCCCTGATACCTGCTCAAGTTTGAGAGCCATTGGTTTAGGGGGACAGCTGAAGTATTAGTCTTAGTAACAAAACAAACCTAAAATCTGGATAATTGGTATATATATTCATATAGGAATAACTAGAGGCAAAAAGGAAAATGTAGCACCATCACCCTTTATACGAGAGGCTACTAGAAGCCTCTTGCTTTGCCTTCAAGAGTGGGGAGGACTCTGGCAGCCGTGGGGTTAGTAGAATGCTGACACAAAGATTTTCTTCAAAAAGCCGTGACACTCTTTGAGTACTCAGAGAATGGGACTTTTCCCATGAAGAAAGACAGATTATGATCTATACAGAACTAGAGCAGCCTCAGATCACCGAGGCACAGGAGACCTGAAATGTCTTGCCTTGTGACCGTACTAGAGAAGTAAAATTTATCAACACAACGGACTTAGTTTTGAGGCATAATTGCATTGACTGAGGCTACCCCAGCTTGGGCTGCTCTGTGGTGTCTGTTCCTTCCTAACCCCAGCTGACCTCAGGTCTCTGAGATCCCTGCAAATGCCACTACTCCTACAGTCTCAATTGCCCTTCAGAGCCGCCTGACTGGACCTGGTTTTAAGAAACAACCCTGCTTGGCATAATTAGATTCTCCTGTCCCTACTTGCAGGGGTCACTACTTGCTCCAAGCAGACCCCCTCCCCCTACCCCACCCCCAAGTTAATGATCCATGCCATAATTAAGTCTAGCTACTACTGGGAGTCTGTCTCCTCAAACCCTAACGCTGTCAGGACTATAACCAGCACAGAAGGATAACTTTGAATGTAAACTGTGGGAGTCTCTATTTCTTTATCACTTCCTTCTGGCATTTGCCTCCACCATTCCACTTAAGTGGTTCTTGTTATTCACATCTATGATCTCTATCTACATTTGTATATGCTTAAGTCCAATAGGTAGCTTGTGTTCTCATCTCCATGGTGTTAGACACTACTGATCATATCCTCCTCCTTGAAACTCCCTTTGGCTTCTCCGATGCTTCCCTTTCCTTCCTCCTACCTCACAACCACCACTGTTCAAACCAACCTGTGTTGACTTACCTTCTACTCTGCAATGGGTGGATGGGATTCCTTAATGCTCCCCTGTTTCCTTACCTGTTTCTAGCTGATGTTAAATGGCTTCAATTATTAAGGTTTACCAGAGACTTCCATGTGTATAGTTCTGGTCCAGACCTCTCCTTTGAACTCCAGACCCACATATGCAATGGCCTACTTAACATTTCTGATTTATCTCAGGGGCACTGCTATGGGTTGAACTGTGTTCCCCCAAACTGTGTTGAAGTCCTAACCCCCCAGTGTCTCACTGTGTGCCCTTATTTGGAAATAGGGTCTTTGCAAATGTAAATAGTTAAGACGAGGCCATAATGGAATAGGGTGGGCCCTACTCCAACAGAATGGTGTTCTTGTAAGAGGCAAGACAGCGCAAAGACAGACATGGAGAGAACACCAGAAGACAGGGGCCAAGACCGGAGTTCTGCTGTCACAAGCTCAAGAATGTCTGGGGCTACCAGAAGCCGGTAGAGGCTAGGAACGATCCACCCTGAAAGTTTCAGAAAGAGCATGGCCCTGTTAACATCTTGGTTTGAGACTTCTAGTCTCCAGAAGAGTAAGAATAAATTTCTGCTGCTTGCGGCCACCCAGCTTGTGGTACTTGGCTACAGCAGTCCTAGGAAACTGGTACACATAGCTTACATTTGCTGCCCTCTACTCCCCAGATCTGAATCATAACTGAGTCCTACCAGTTTTACTTCCAATCATACATTGAATTCATTCATTTTCTTTAGTGGGCTTTCAATCTGTTGAAATCTAGTCTACTAAATACCTACGGGTTTTTACTATAAAGAATATTTTTAGAGGGGCGCCTGGGTGGCTCAGTCGGTTGAGCGTTCGACTTCAGCTCAGGTCATGATCTCACGGTTTGTGGGTTCGAGCCCCATGTCAGGCTCTGTACTGACAGCTCAGAGCCTGGAGCCTGCTTCGGATTCCATGTCTCCTTCTCTCTCTGCCCCTCTCCCACTTGTGCTCTGTCTCTCTCTGTCTCTCAAAAATAAATAAATGTAAAAAAAAAATTTTTTTTTAATAAAGAATATTTTTAGATTCTAAGATGAGGCTGTTAATGCTGAGCTGTTCCATGGGGCCTGGGCTAGAATGATGTCCTGTTTTGTTAGTTTTAGGAGCCATGTGATGAACTGGGTGGAGTTGAGGCTTCTGAGTTGTTGACTGCCTGGGTTAATGACTTTCTACACACCAAGAGGCTGATGAAGTCTCAGAGGTGTTCCCTGATCAGAGTGTTCCCAACCTGGGAAAGGTTTTAAAGATGAGGGACGAGAAATTGGAACCGCAAAGTACATGTTAGGATCCTTTTCTCGAAACTTCAAATTTCACAGAAAACCCTTAAAAATATTTCCAAGAGTCGACAGACTTCTTTGACCAGATTAAACTGATAGAGTGACAGGATGTTATGCCTATGAAAGAAACCGGGAAATAAATAATCCAGTGTCTATTGTGTCTCATAATGAAGAGAACACAAGAACTCTGCCATAGATTGGCCACTGCAGGCCACCACTGACTTTGGCACAGTCATTGGCTGGCACTTCATCCATCTGAGCAGCCGCCTGCATAGATAATGGCCTCGTTCCATGGGATAATGACTTGTTATGGCAGCTGGTATTTATTTGTTGTTAAAGATGTCTCAATTGCAATTAGTGAAAGAAAGCCTTCCTTCATCTAACCTGGGGCAGGTGTCTAGGAGATAGGGTGTGACCCACAGAACAGCACAATCCTTGATGCACTTAGAGAATCCTTGGATCTCAGGTCAGACATTACAGGTATAAATCAAATGGCTCAGTGACAAAACCAGCTTCATCCAGAATCTTGGGCAGGGCAACAGAGTACTTCACCTTTGGAGCTGAGGACAGGGATCTGTCCTATACCTTGTGAGTTTTTCTGCCCTGGAGTTGCAGGGCAACTTAAGTTTTCTCTCTGGTTATTTAGAGGAGTAACCAGAACAAGGCTTGGCCTGCACCTCAGAATGGGTTGGGTTTACAATGCTTGACAGACACCCTCCCTGCAGGAGGTTTTGTTAAATTGCAGGTGGGTCAGAACAACCTGTCCAGAACAAGGTTGGGGAACTGGACTTCTAGGGCAGGGCCTGCGGAGTGCTGAGTTAAGGCAGGTCAGAGCAGTGAGGCAGACAGAAGGCAGCTGAGGGCCAGTGAAGCAGTGGTAAAGGCAAGTCTGAGGCGTCAGGCTCTCAGGAGGACTCAGACCAGAGGCATCCAGCACCCTGGATAGCACCTTGGCAGCGACCAACACTAGCACAATGGCTAGTCTACAAAATCGACGCTAGGTCATTCAGATGGTTCCACCTTCTAGATCAGATGATTTCCAAGCTAGGCGGTAAATCATAATCACCTACGGGGATGTTTAAAGATACAAATTCCAAGGCCCTATTCATAGAGATTCTACTTTGGTAAATCTGAGGTTAGATACTGGAATGTATATTTTTAAAAAGCTCATTCTGATGAGTAGTCATTCTGATGAATACTATTGAAGCCATGGCTATAGATAGAATTTAATTGGTTGTTAAAGATAGATATCCTTACTGATATCTCCATCTGTATCCCACTAAGAGCTTTTAGAATCCATGGTGGATGTAAGAGTCACACCTTCTAGCATTGGATCCATTGGTCAAGCATGAATGGCAGACTAGTAATAGGTGAATTTCTTCTGCTTTTTATTAGAATTCATCCTTTGACTATTTCTTTTGGGCATAGTGTAGGGGCTATTTCTGGTGTCTGCATGTCTTCTGTGTTTTCCTGGTCTACTAATTTTTTTAAATGATCTTAAATTGTATTTAACCCAGTGTATCCAAAACATTATCAGTTCAATATGTAATTAATCTCCTAAAGATTCTTAATGAAATATTTAATATTATTTTAGAGTTATTTTCATAGAAATCTAGTACATCTTCATTCTAATTAGCCATATTACAAGTGCTCAATAGTAATATGTAGCTGGTGACTACTATCTTGGACAGTACAATTCTAGACCTTCAAATTTAAGGAGTACATTCATCCTCATAAATTTCTATAGTCTGAATATACTGACTTAATAGCAAATTTCCTAATAAATGCAAAAGAAGTAATGGTGTTCATCACAGCAAACACTAATTATACTCTTTTGTCTTCAACTAGTTTTAATGGACATATTAGAAAGATTACAGCTTCAACTACTGATGTTCCTTTAACTGTAATTATTTTACAGTTCCTTACTATTTTCAATGACTACATCCTACCTTGGTATTATTTGCCCTACCATCAACCCCTCCCAGAATTACCAGCTTCAATTATTACAATTAACAGTCAATAATGGTTATACTTGATTCTTAAGTACCTTCATGAAATTCAAAGACATGGGATGAGCTTCTGAAAACTTTTCTTCAAGAGTTTCCTAGAAAACAAAATAAAGAATTTCAATGTTACACAACAACAAAGTTATATTTAGTTTTGAAAACATTAGCAATAAGAACACTTTGGTGAAAGACTTTCCCCCATAGGTTAGATGGTTCCTTTTAAGGATTTTTAAAAAGTCCTGTTTTTATATAATTTTACACTGTAGTGTAAAGGTTTAAAAAACAAAAGTTGGAATTATTTTCTTAATTTCACAATGTCTTGCAATTGATGCTTTGTAAATGTGACCTTCAAATGTCCCTGAAATCCTACAACAGTATTTTGTTTTATTTTATTTTTTCTACAACAGTACTTTAATATCTGATCTGTGCCAGATCTGTTACAGGGACCCTTTGTGCATTAATGCAAATATGTTGAGTTACATGTGTGAGAACTACAGAGAGCGACAGAACGAGGGACCCTGGGTGGCTCAGTTGGTTAAGTGTCTGATTCTTGATTTTGGCTCAGGTCATGATCTCACGGTGGTGAGATAGAGCCCTGCCTCAGACTCCACGCATGGATCCTGCTTGGGATTCTCTCCCTCTCCTCTCTCTTTGCCCCTCCCTCACTTGTGAGCACACTCCCTCCGTCTCTCCCTCAAAATAAAAACTTTTTTATATTTATTTAAAAAATAAATTTTAAACTTTTTTTAAATGTTTAAAAAAATAAAAAAAATTTAAAAATAAATTTTAAACACATTGTAAAAAACTAAAAAAAAAAGCAACAGAATGCTAAACACAAAATTCAGGATAGTAGGGAGGGAAGAGGATGGGATTGAGGGAGGAGCACCTGGGGAAGGGTAAGCTTCAAAGATAAACGGCAATAGTGCCCTTTAACGAGGCAGCATGTACTTGTGAATGTGTATTTCATTCTTTAAAATTAAATACATTATATAAATATTCCTCTGTAATTTAACCTCTAGTCTTGTTAATTCAATTTTAACCTTTTGCTGTATTTCTTAAAAGCTTTAACAAATATAAAAAAGAAATCTAGTATGTATGTATGCATCTATATCTATATCTATATCTATATCTATATCTATATCTATATCTCAAAGTATTATATGAAATACCAAATCTAAAATGAAAGGGTGGCTAGAGAGAAAGTTGGGACCATTCAAACCTCAGATTGTTCACATGTGCCATAAATCATGAAGTGGCTTTCCAGATCACCCCACCCCTGCACCCCTCTTGTACCAACACAGCCTGAATGTGGGCACACACCTCTTGGCCTTTCATCCTATGGGCAGAATTTAAACCACACGGAGCTTTAAAAACCATAGGCCACACTCAGGTAACACAGGTAGGAAATCAATGTCTATAGAGAATAAGAGGGTCAAGTCATTGACACATTCTCAAAGAAAGGCAGAGACCACAGCAAGAGCCTAGCAGTGATCAATGTGGTTCGGAGTTTTGATTTGGACACAATGAGGATCACTTTGTAGAAGGACTTTCCATGTGAAAATATGCGCTGTGGAGAAACGGCTTTTATTGATTTGGGCTTTGTTTACAAGCTGAAAAAATAGAGGCTGCGTGTTTTCAAAATAAAGAAGATGACAGTAAGTACCTAACGGTAGGTAAGTACTGTTTAACAGAAAGGTGGTAAGTGTTTTGACTAAAAGGATCAAGGTGATGGGGCGCCTGGGTGGCTCAGTTGGTTAAGCGTCCGACTTCAGCTCGGGTCATGACCTCGCGGTCCGTGAGTTCGAGCCCCACATCGGGCTCTGTGCTGGCAGCTCAGAGCCTGGAGCCTGCTTCGGGTTCTGTGTCTCCCTCTCTTTCTCTCTACTCCTCCTCCACTCACGTCCTGTCTCTCTCTTTCTCTGTGTCAAAAATAAATAAACATTAAAAAAAAAGGATCAAGGTGTTTATGTAAGGAATTAAATATACTTTCACTTCAGATTTAACTGTGAGTTTAACTTAGGGCAAGTAGGCTTTTAAAGCATTCTCTTGGTTAATATGTGTAGCTTTACAGAACTTCTTTGATCCATGTCAGTGTGTTCTAGAAGGAAAACAGGAGCCAAAAGTATACATATTTTTAAAAATCCCCCTTTAGAGAAGGCTGCAACACAAATAATAAAATATCCAAAATTGAGCAAGTTTACCATGTCTCCCGGTTCAGGAATACTGATGCCATGGAAAAACTGGTTACTTTTGAAGATAGATTGATGTCTTGGGATTAGTTTTCCTGTAAAATACAAACCATGTAACTCATGATAAATTTAATAAAAATAAAAGTGTTTAAATGGTTAACTTCTGAGGTCCAGATGTACCAGAAATGCTGAGCCTGATGGTTCCTTTCAGGTTGGGGAGGTCTGATCTGCTGCAAACTCCTGCCTTCTCAGGGGAGGTCAGTTCTCCGTGCACCTCTCTTTGCCCTTCATCTCCCACCAAGAGAGGAGGTAAGAAACCCATGCTGAGGGCTCTACACACGTGATCTCATCACAATCTACAGTGGTTGCTATTTTTCACCTCCACTGCACCAGTGAGTTAAACGAGGCTCAGAAGTTTAGTAACCCCAGGGCACCTGGGTGGCTCAGTCGGTGAAGTGTCTGACTCTTGGTTTCAGCTCAGGTTATGATCTCACAGTTTGTGGGATCGAGCTCCACGTGGGGCTCTTTGCTGACAGCATGGAGCCTGCTTGGGTTTCCCTCTTACCCTCTCTCTCTCTGCCCCTCTCCCACTTGCGTGCATGCACTCTCTCTCTCTCTCTCAAAATAAATAAATAAACTTACAAAAAAGAAGTTTAATAACCTGTCTAAAGTCACATGGTCATTAAAAGACCCAGGATTCGAACTCAAGTCTGTCTAATGATTGCATCAGGTAAATTTCCACATGCCTTTCAGGAAATCAGTCAGACAATATATACCTAAGGCATATACACACCTAAGGTGTGGCCTGTGGTGACATTCTCCCCCACAGTTTTCATGCTGTAGAATTCTCCGGACGGATGTGCTGGAACCAAACAGGGACGTGCATCAGACCAAACAGCAGTGGTCCCATCGCCCAGCAGCCAGACTGCCAGGAGAGCCTGCAGCAAGGAACATGCAAATGCCCATCTTGGGTGTGCATGTACCACTTTCCTTGCGTTCCATGCTGCTGGTGTGAAAAGCCACAGCCCCCCTTCTGGCTGATGTCCTCTTCCACCTGCCACGGATGCTGACACGTGTGGAAGCTTGTGAAAGAGGCCCCTTGAGTCGCATTCCTATTGTGCACTTAACTGTTGTATGCCTTCGGGGCCAATCGCGGAAGCTCCCCGAGCCTCAGTTTCCGCATGTGTAACATAGGCAAGATTAAAAATGTTACAATGTCCTTCATGGGTTGTTCTTTTTTTAAAATTTTTTTTTTTTAACGTTTATTTATTTTTGAGACAGAGAGAGACAGAGCATGAACGGGGGAGGGTCATAGAGAGAGGGAGACACAGAATCTGAAACAGGCTCCAGGCTCTGAGCGGTCAGCACAGAGCCCGACGCGGGGCTCGAACTCACGGACCGCAAGATCATGACCTGAGCCAAAGTCGGCCGCTTAACCGACTGAGCCACCCAGGCGCCCCAGCGTGGGTTGTTCTTAAGACTGGTAAAGATGATGTGTTTGAAAGTAATTCGTAAATCCTTGTTTTTTAATGTTTATTTATTTATTTTGAGAGGGAGAGAATGGGGGAGGGGCAGAGAGAGAGAGAGAAGGAGAGAGAGAATCCCAAGCAGGCTCCGTGCTGTCAGCACAGAGCCCGATGAGGGTCTCGATGTCATGAACTGTGAGATTATGACCTGTGCTGAAATCAAGAGTCAGATGCTTAACTGACTGAGCCACCCAGGCGCCCCAGTGATCCATAAATTCTTAAGTGCTATATACAAAGGAGCAGAGTCAAGGAGTCGCAACAGAGACTGTAGAGCCTACAAAACCTAAAATATTTACCATCAGGCCCTTTACAGAAAAGTCTGCTGACCCCTGCTCTACAGTAAAGGGGGAAGACTCCTCTTTTACAGTGGGCAGAAATCACATTTGATCAAACCTCTCTTAGAGTAAGCTCTATGCGGATGACTCATATCCCCTATCTTAGCCTGATGTGGAAAGTAAGTGTGTGGTTTATTCCATGGCTAATTGGCTTGACTTGGAAAGGAATCTGAAAACTCCTCAGTGCGAGGAGTTAGGGCTCCACATTGAGAAAATGGTTGGGCTTTGGCTACAATCCAGAACAAGCATCCTGAGCAGCACTCTGGAGGAGCAAGAAAGCTCTTGCTGCGCATTACAGGAATGTACCATTGCTATAACAATTTAGCAACTCTGTAAGCCATAACATGCAACTCCTACCCAGTGTTCTGATGATCAGATACAGCTGGTCCACATCTGATCTTCCGGGCCACAGTGGCTGGCCTGTCAGAAGCTCTGCAAAAACGCAACCGGTAGCCCATATGTCTACTGAAGAGCCATACTGCGTGTCTCCCACAAGAAGTTCAGGAGCTCGGTACCATCTTGTAGCGACGTAATCAGTGTAGGCATCTCCTGGAACTGCAAATGCGTCAATCAGATCAGGTGGGTCACATTCTTGTAACACATGAACTACTCCCAAGAGCAGATCAGGCGTTCAGGCAAGCTTCAGTAACTCGGAGGCCACAGCACTCCTAACCGTTGATGCGGTGAGGCACTGATTGAGTAAATAGTTCCACTGTGCACTCGGTCAGTAAGTTCAACTCCCGGGGGTCCCTCAGCTAGTGAGCCTCTATATCATCCTCCACAGAGAGGCAGGTGGGAATGAGGATTTCTGTAGTGCAACTTCAGGTTGAAAACAACTTCCTAGTGCATTGTGAAGCCCCTTGTGTCTGGTCCTATCAGGATACCGATTATGGACACACCCGCCTTCCAATGAGTTGTTGCAAATACAGGTTTTTTCTGCGGTGCAGTTCTAGATTCAGGGAGAAATAATGGTCTATTCCCCTTTCCCTTTGGTTACCCCCATCCCCACGACTGGGATGACTTCCCTTTTCTTAGCACTGTCTCTGAATCCTCTCCTTAATTTTCCATTTACTCTCCTAGTCTTACCAACTACATAGTTTTTCCCGACCTCTCTAGCACATAGGGAACCTTCTCCAGGGAAGGATCTGGACCCTCACTTTGGTACTTCTTTGCGAATCATTTTGTATTATTCTTTTGGTTCTTTTACTTCAATTATAAGTGCATGAAGAGCAGACATACATCTTATAATTCTTTTCCTCTTCTCTACAAGGCAAAGCACATACATGTGACATCCAATAAATTCTAGTGGAGTGGAGCACAGCTGAAGTGCAAACCCATGTCCTGGCTAGAAGGTAAAAGTGAACTCTTCCTCTCTGAATAATAACAACATCACATTTAGCATACATTCAGTATCTAAAGTAAGATCTTATATCATTTCATAATCCTCTGCATTGGATGAGTCCATAAAAAATTGCTACTTATGGGGCACCCGGATGGTTCAGTCAGTTAAGCCTCTGACTCTTGATTTGGGCTCAGGTCATGAACTCACAGTTTGTGAGTTTGAGCCCTGCATCGGGCTCTGTGCTGACAGCACAGATCCTCTTTGGGATTCTCTCTCTCTCTCTTTCTCTCTCTCTCTCTCCCCCACCCTTGCCTCTCAAAATAAACTTAAAAAAAAATGCTACTTACTGAGAATTCGTGCAAACCCAAAGTCACAGATCTTGATTATTCCTTGCTTAGTTATTAGAATATTTTCAGGTTTTACATCTCTGTGAATACACTGTAAGATAACACTGGATCATTTCTCTGAGCCATCAAAACGACAAAGCATAAACATTAACTATTAGTTTAAATGATAAACACAGCCTATGAGATTCAAACAAATACGCTTTTCCTTCATTTTCCTAAAAGAACGTTAATGGGCAAATTTCCACCTGTAAATCTTACCGTAACAAAAGAAAAAAGTCAAAATGCTGCTATATAAGTGAAGAAATTGACATCATAATTGTTAGATAGGAAAACTTTTTTTTTTCTTGGAGAAGGTGGTGTCACACAAGTATTTTTGCCACTTTTTACTGCACTCTACTTAAACCAGAAGAGGTGAAGCCCTAGATGAGATTAGACTCCATGTAGCTCTGATAACTCCTGCCAGCCAAGAATCACAATCTAGGTTGAATAAGTATTGCAGATTTGAGACACTGGGAAAAGATCTGAATGATAACAACAACAACAACAACAACAACAACAACAAACTCGCTTAAAATTGGCTTGTAATTAGAGTGACCATATTATTTGTTGCCTGAATCGGGACGTGTGAAAGGGGCTCTGTTAGTAACTATGCTAGGACAACAGAAACAAACCACAACTGTCCTGGGAAAGCTGAGATGTATGGTCACCTACTTCTGGAGAGACACTAAAGCCTTCGGCATCAGGGGATGAGAACCACTTATTCTTCCTCAGCACGAGCTAACCTGGAAGGATCAGCAGCTCTCCTGAGAGATGCCCACCCAGCACTGTCCGGGTTCCCACTGGGAGAGCAGGACACCACCGTGAGGCGCTGTCACCTCCGACAGGCTCCCGCTATCCCTCTAGAGGTGGAGACCTTACAATTGGCTGCCTCACTGTAATGGCCTTGGATGGGGCAGGTGCCCCTCGCTGGATGTGCGAGGGCCAAGCTGGGGTAAGGATGAAGGCGGGCTGAGTGAGCCTCACTCATCGCTGTTCCAGAAATGGCTGTTCCATGTAATGGAGACCCTCTCGCCCAGAACACAAGTCGGGCCCTATTCTTCAGAACTTTATCTTTCTGTGCCTCCTTCCCGAACAAGCAAACAGCTAGAAATGATGTCCCTCTTCTTCTACAGCTCAGCCCTCATACAGAGCTCTGTCCTTTTCAGAGCACTTGCCCGCGAATTCATTCCCGCAACAATCTTGTGACTGCAGATGGCCACTGACAGGGTCTCTGGATTAAGCGTCACAATCATCCATTCCTTTTGCCTCACTTCTCTGCTGTGCTGTCAGTCCCTTTATATATTCCTACCAAAATAGCAATTTTGCAATAATTTTTCTTTGCTTCTATGATAGCTATCTGGGAAGAGAAAAAGTGAGTCCTAAATTCATTTTAGGTCACAAAAATGGCAGTGGTAGTAGAAGCTGGTTCCTATTTGGTCTCAATTATTATCAATTGTCTCATAATTTATATGACTAACAGAAGAAATTTCTAGGTCCCTTTAAAGTCCTAAGGCCTTGCATATTAATTAAAAAAAATACATTGTTGTAATATAAACCAACACAGTTTTGACGTCCGACCTTTTAAGCAACACGTTTATGAAACTTGAATTAACGCTGAGTCGTACTCACAATAGTTGGTGATTTACTAGGAACAGGTTATGTCCCTTAAAAGAGTTTGTGTCATATTCTAAAACTTCTGGACTATGTGTGGCATTACCAAGCAAATGGGCTCACACTGACATTTGACTTTTGGCCTATTTAAATATGATTTTTGGATCTAATGCAAATCCGTGTGAAATTTTTAGCAATTTATTTTCCAACCAAAAAATACAAAGGCAAAAACGAAGCACTGATATGTCCCAACGAAATAGAAAAATTATTGGTGTAGGTGCAGGTAAGAGAGACTACTATTAAGAGGAATAGGATGTTGAAGAAGAAAAAAGTAAAAATCCCTGGAACAGTAAGAAGTCCAGCACGGAGAAGGGGAGATGCTTAGGCAGACAGCATCCGCTTCCCCGCTGCAAAGCCACACTCAGTGCAAACTCAGCAGGCCTCTTGCAATCAGGTTACTTTCCACCAAAGAGCAAGAAACCTGCCTGTCAGTGTGACAGAAGCAGGTCCTTTCAGTAACTTGGGTTGCATATACGGCTTTTAGAAAACGTTGCTCAAGTTGGGTCATTGTGGCTAATGTATAATCTCTTTTTTACTGGCTCACAAGCCAACAAGAAGAGGTATCCATGACCCCAATGTTAAGAATCATCTCCAGAAACTTCTACAAATTGCTTCTTATACAACCTGATCGAATAATGGTTTTCTATTCTTTTTTTTTTAAAAAAAGATTTTGTTTTTTAAGTAATCTCTATACCCAATGTGGGGCTTGAACTCATGACCTGAGATCCAAGAGTTACATGCTCCACTGGCTGAGCCAGCCAGATGCCCCTAAATAATAGTTTGTGGGGCACATGGGTGGCTCAGTCTGGGAGCGTCCAACTCTTGATTTGGGCTCGGGTTCTGATCTCATGGTTGAGATGAGTGTGCAGCCTGCTTGGGATTCTCTCTCTCTCTCTCTCTCTCTCCCTTTCTCTCTCAAAAAGTTTACTATTATTTGAGAAGATTGTTCTCTTTGAGCTTTAGAGATGGATACTGATACAGCAGTGAGGAAAGGGACCTCCTTCTTGACAATGAGAACGTTAACATTAACAAGATGATGATGGATGTTGCAGCCCCAAAGACACACGTCTTTGAAAGTCACTGTAGTTTTGTCGTTTTGAGATGAAGTTCTTTTTGTCTATTATATCAAGTATATAAAAATCCATGCATTCATAATGATGCTCAATGGGTCACTTAGATAACTTATCCTGGCAATATTAAAGGGTAAGAAAGAACAAAATGAATAGGTATTTTCTCGAGTCGAGTGCTTCTCCAAATTTATGTGCACATGAATCTCCTGGAGATCTTGTTAAAATGCAGATTCTGATTCAGTAGATCTAGGGTGGGCCTGATGTTCTGCATTCCTAAAGAGCTCCCAGGGGATCTCTGTGAAGCACACTTTGAGTAACAAGGCCTCAATCCCTTATAACTTTAACCTTCCTTGTCTGGGTTAGGATCACCACTCTGGGGATAATAAGGTGGTCATGGTCTTATATATGACCTAACTTGTTTCCTTTGCATGCATTTCAGTGATAAAATAAAAAGATACACAAAGGCTTACCAGTGCATAAAAAAATGAGATAAACAGAGTTCAAAAGTAATTCCTATGTTGGAGGAGGGAAGTTTGTCTGAAAAAAATATCCATTTTTAATAGAGGTCATAGATTGGGGTGCCTGGGTGGCTTCACTCGGTTAAGCACTGACTCCTGATTTCAGCTCAGGTCATGGTCTCATAGTTCATGGGCTCAAGCTGTGCATCGGGCTCCGTGCTGACAGTGTTGAGCCTGTTTGGGAGTCTCTCTGCCCCTCCCCACTTGTGTTCTCTCTCTCTCTCTCTCTCTCTCAAGATAAGTAAATAAACATAAAAAAAATAAAAGTCAAAGATAATTGATTGGAGGTTTTAAAGCTTAAGATATAGAACATGTTGTTCCAAGCAGAGAAATGATGGCAGTTGCATTGAGTTATAATAATGTTTGGGTTTGTGAAATAGTAAGTCACAATCATGTAGGTAAGTTGATTGACTGACTGTCTGACTGTCTGATTAATTCATTCATTCATCCAGTTATTCAATAAATATGTATTGAGTAAGAACCTTTTATATAAAAAGACCCAGGCTAGGTATTAAAGAGATACAGAGATAAATCAGTCCAGATACTGCATTCAGGCTTATAACCTAGTACACAGGTAAGTGCCTGATTATATAAGGATGGGGTACAAACACTTATGGTAAATAGAATTTTTTAAAAGTCATTTTAATTACCCATAAGACTCCTACAGGAATCTTAGGTGAACTGTAATACCTCTGATAGCATGGTGGGAAGCAACAGAGATATGGTTTTGATTCAGCATCATCTTTAGTAAGTATTTAAAAGCACAGTTTGCATCATGAAGAACAGGCTTATGTATTTTGTGAACACTATCTCTGTATACTTTAAAAAAAATTTTTTTTAATGTTTTTATTTATTTTGAAACAGAGAGAGACAGAGTGTGAGAGTGGGAGGCGCAGAGAGAGAGGGAGACACAGAATCCAAAGCAGGCTCCAGGCTCTGAGCTGTCACCACAGAGTCCGATGTGGGGCTCAAACTCACGGACTGTGAGATCATGACCTGAGTCGAAGTTGGACATTTAACCGACTGAGCCACCCAGGCACACCTCTCTATACTTTATTAATACAAAAATATAAGCTTCTGATTGATCCTAATGAACCCTTCATTAACTTTCTTACAACTAAAGGAAGCTTCCACTAAGTATTGAAATCCATTTCCATGATTTTGCATTCTTTTCCAGCGATCCTAGACAATGATAGACATTCTGCTGGCATTAAATTGACCATAAGGTAGTCTGTACCTTTGTGCAGGCACTGCCTCTGTCTAGGCACCAACTCAAAAGTTCTAGAGTTATTTTTTAAAAACTATCATTATAGCAAGAGTCCCCAGAAGCCAACTTAAAGAAGCTCCCGCTGGCCCAAGATGGGACAATTGAACATCAGAGAGAATGATGAAAGCAAAGGATTGAAACACATCAATATATAAAACCCATAAATTTGTTTTTAAAAAACTTTTTTTTAAGGTTTCTTCATTTTTCAGAGACAGAGACAGAGTGTGAGCATGGGAGGGGCAGAGAGAGAGAGGGAGACACAGAATCTGAAACAGGCTCCAGACTTTGAGCTGTCCGCACAGAACCCGAGACGGGGCCTTCGCGAACTCACGGATGGCGAGATCATGACCTGAGCCGAAGTTGGATGCTTAACTGACTGAGCCACCCAGGTGCCCCTAAAACCCATAAATTTGAAATGATGCCTGCATTCCACCCCAAACCCTTCATTATTCACTCTTGGAGGTTGTTAACATAACAACTTATCACTATGAGCACTGACAAGTAAAGGAAATAATCACATCTTTTTCTGACGGTATTTTACAGTAGCCAGAGTCCATGAGGGTAGGTTGTTCTCCATAGAATTTGAATTAATATATGCAGAAGAAATAATAGATTTCAAAAGTCACCATCAAACTGTCTTCATAAGACCTCCAAGGGGGTTGATACATGCTCAAGTTTGAAAACTATGGGTGTAAAAAACTAATAATGAAAACATTTTAGAAAAAGGATAGAGGAAGGGAGACTGTTAGAGAATAAAAGACTCAAGAAACATAAAAACAAAATCAAACTGGGGCACCTGGGTGGCTCAGTCGATTAAGCGACTGACTTCAGCTCAGGTCATGATCTCACGGTTTGTGGGTTCGAGTCCCATTTTGGGTTCTGTGCTGATAGCTCAGAGCCTGGAGCCTGCTTCGGATTCTGTGTCTCCCTCTCTCTCTGCCCCTCCCCCGCTCACACTCTGTCTCTGTCTCTCAGAAATAAACATTAAAAAAAATTAAAGAAACAAAACAAAAACAAAATCAAATCAAGTACCATGGGGAGTTACACATCCTGCAAACTTATTTCAATTTAAATATGACCACAGGAATCATCAGCAGGATAGCAAAAGGAACAGCAAGTTTATACAAATTTTTAATTTATAAGGAATTAGTAATCTGGTTCTTACAGAAATTGGGAAAAGAAGCCATGACTTGCTTTTCCCATATTCTGTAGCTTTCTTCCTTTCCCTCCGTCTTTGGCTCTTTAAATAGATCATTGAGCTATTGAGAAGAAAAGAATAAATTGACAAATATATTAGAAAATGTTACTTACGTTATGTTTGTGACAGAAATTAAGAGCTTGAAGTGTTTGCCATAATATACTTTTGATCATTCCATCAGCAACTCTGGCGGGGAAAGAAAATTAAAAAGGAATTGAAAACTCCAAAGCTGAAGCGTCAGGGCCAAGAGCTGGGAACAGAAATGGAATGCATAGGGCTTGTCATGGCCAACAAACAGGGTGCAAAGGGTGTGTTGGAAATACATTTTCTTAATGTGTTAATGAAAACTCCTTTACTATATTTTCATTATAGATATACAATTTTCTTTTGTAATTTAAAAACTTTAGATCTGCAAAAATGATACAAGCTTATCACAAAAATCCAAACACTACAGACAAGCAAAAGAATACAAAGTGTTGACTCAAAACTTGCTACCCCAAAATAATTGCTGGAATGCACAGGCATCTGTGTTTCTTCAGGCATCTCTGTTCCTTTCCCTCTCTCTCTCTCTACATTTACTTTTCATTTTTTTGTTTTTATTTTTCATTTTTTATTTTTATTTTTGAGAGGCAAAGGGCAGGGGAGGGGCAGAGAGAGAGGAAGACACAGAATCCGAAGCAGGTTCTTGAGTTACTGCACAGAGCCTGATCACCCAACTCATCAACTCAGCGAGATCACGACCTGAGCTGAAGTTGGACGTTTAACGGACTGAGCCACCCAGGCGTCCCTGCATTTATTTTTTTTTTTTTTTTTAATTTTTTTTTCAACGTTTATTTATTTTTGGGACAGAGAGAGACAGAGCATGAACGGGGAGGGGCAGAGAGAGAGGAGACGAGAATTCGAAATTAGCTTCCAGACTCTGAGCCATCAGCCTGAGAGTCACCGAATCCTCATGATCATAGATCGTGACCTCCTGGCTGTCGGACGCTTAACCGACTGCGCCACCCAGGCGCCCCTGCATTTACTTTTTAACTTTAATTTTAAATATATGTGTTCGTATGGCTCAACATTTAAAGAGTATAAAAGCATATCTGTGATGAAATCTCTCTCACACCTGGCTAGTCATACATTTCATCTTCTGCAACTCCCCCCACCTCTTTCAGAAACATTTTAATACATAGCAGCACAAATACTAATACGTTTACACCTATTTCATGGTCTCATTATACGGATGTGTCATAGTTTACTTACTTAGTTCCCACTGGTGAGCAATTAGGTTGACCCAATTTTATGCCTAGAAACAACATGTCAATGAACATCTGTAATCATCTTTTTAAGGTAAGTTCTAGAGGTGGGATTTCTAAGGCTAACGGTAGGCACAAGTTACATTTTGATTCTGCAGGTAGGACCTGTAGGAGGAAGGGCAAACTGGAAGACTGACTTCCGCGGGTTTGGTGGTAAACACACTCTAACACGTGCTACAGTTGTTTTGTAAGTTTCGTACACCCGGTAAGCAGGCAGGTCCCCGGCCAGGGGAAGCCAGGGAGAACACAGCCCCCAGGAGGATGGAAGGCTGGATGCTTCTTGTCCCTGCAGAGCCCTGGAAATACTGGAAGGTATTTTCCATTGCGGAAATGGGGATCTGGGTAACTTCCACTCCATCTGGGACGAGTCTACTTCGTGTAGCCATCTCTATAGATGATAGCAATTACATTCCCGTAACTTTCTGCTGACATTTTGCCATTGCTCACATCACTGTCCCTCTGAAGACGTTTTCAGTTACATACTTCCAAACTACCTTCTCTAAGAAAGGTTAGACCCATTAACGCTCCCACCAAACATCTGTGCATCGAAGCCCCTGTCCCCTCATTGTCTTGCCGGTTTTGCCAATGTTATGTTTGCCAATCTGTGGTTAAAATAAAAAGCTCATAAAAAAAAAAATAAAATAAAAATAAAAATAAAAAGCTCATTTTGGTTTTCATTTCCATTTTACTAATTACTAGTGACTTTTAATTTTCACATGATTATTGGACATTACATTTCTTCCTTTGTGTACTTCCTGTTCATGGCCTTTATGTCTTTTTTGACTGGTCTGTTTACTCTTTTTAAAATTGATTCATTGGGGCGCCTGGGTGGCGCAGTCGGTTAAGCGTCCGACTTCAGCCAGGTCACGATCTCGCGGTCCGTGAGTTCGAGCCCTGCATCGGGCTCTGGGCTGATGGCTCAGAGCCTGGAGCCTGTTTCCAATTCTGTGTCTCCCTCTCTCTCTGCCCCTCCCCCGTTCATGCTCTGTCTCTCTCTGTCCCAAAAATAAATAAACGTTAAAATTGATTCATGAAGGGATGCCTGGGTGGCTCAGTCAGTTAAGCGTCCGACTTCGGCTCAGGTCATGATCTCATGGTTCATGGGTTTGAGCCCTGCAACGGGTTTTGTGCTGACAGCTCCGAGCCTGGATCCTGCTTCGGGTTCCATGTCTCCCTCTCTCTCTGCTCCTCCCCCACACATGCTCTGTCTTTCTCTGTCTCTCAAAAATAAATAAAAACTTTAAAAAGTTTTTTTAAGTTGATTTATGAAGGCTCAACATACACTGGAGTCAGCATATGTGCCGCAAATATTTTTATCCGGGTGTTGTTTGTTTTTCAACCCTATTCATGGAGATGGGGGTTGCTGGTTGCATAGTTTCAAAAATCTGAAACACAAGATGTCTTTTGCTAAATGCCTACTGTAAAATTTTTTAATTAAAAAATTTAGGATTATCGAATATCCCAAACACACCTAGTCATTCAGCTTTAATATTTTATCATATTTGGAAATGTAAATCCTATGTTTAGATCAGTTTTTTAGAAGTTTCTATTTATTTTGAGAGACAGAGAGAGTGCATGTGGGGGAGGGGCAGAGAGAGAGGAAGAATCCCAAGTGGGATCCACCTGTCAGTGAGGAGCCCCGTGTGGGGCTCGAACTCACCAACCGTGAGATCATGACCTGAAAAGAAACCAAGAGCCAGACGCTTAACTGACTGAGCCACCCAGGTGCCCCTAGATCACTTTTTAAAAACTAAACTCATCCTGCAGGTGTAGCTGGTCCACATAAGACATCACCGTGTGAAGCTGGGGCATATATGGAGAAGCAGCAAGTGTGTGGAGGTATTTTTCTAAGGGCAGTTTTCTGATCTCAGGTCACAATTATGGCGGCATGTTCTTGATATTCACAGGCTGACGGCAGCCCTTTGACTCCAGCTCTTCTAATTATTAAGTATTATTAATATTGTGAAAGCCCCTAATTCTCAGTATTAAATCCCTTTCCACCGGAAGTACCTAGAGCCATTTCTGTTTCCCACACTGAATTCTGATATAACTTGATCTTTTTCCCCTCTTTGCCCAGAGCCAAGCTGGAGACATTGCTTAAATGTTTTTGTAATAGAATAGTAGAGCCATTTTTGAGCACTATGAGGCACGGTTCAAATCCCTGCTTCCAAGTTTTATAACCTTGGGCCAGTTATATGTGCCTTCAGTGTTCCTCATGTGTAAAAATGGAACGGTGCCCTGCAAGTTTATTAAGAAGTCTATGCCCTAAGAGTCTGGGTTTTAGTATCTCCATAGGTTCAGGAAATGAGGGTCTGAGATCAGGTGAGGCCAGTAGACGGGACTCAGATGCTATACAAAGACAAAAAGAGCCTCAAAAGACTAGCAACAGGCCCTGAGGTAAGAAAGAATGGGGAGTGTGGGAAAAGCAATAAGGAGGCCAGTGTGGCCAAAGCATGAGTGAAGAAGGTGAGGCTGGCAGAGGCCAAGTCATGGAGGGATTACAGATCTGGGTAGGTAGTTTGGATTTTCTGTGAATCTAAAGGAAAGTCATTGAAAGGACTCAAGAAGGCAAGTGGCATAATATGGAGAATGGATTTCTGGGGGCAAAGCAGATACAGGAAGGTTAATTAGGTGGCAAATTTAATAATGCTGGTGATATCTGGTGAATCTGATTACAGTGGTGGTGGTGGAGGGAAGGGAGGTGGATTTCAGTCCTTGTGAGGGACCAGCAAGAGTAACACCGGACCCGATTCATGCAGAAATGGAATGCCAGGTGGGATCAAAGGACGGCTGGCAGAGGGGCTCAAGTCCTGGGATCGAGAAACAAGGTGGGGACTGGCAGGACCCAGGGTTCTAGCGTCGATAACATGGAATCAGGCATGAACTAATGCCATAGGGAAGTCCCGAGCTCTCACTGTGGAAGAGGAGTGTTTGTTTCATGGCATCTCACATCAAGTGTCATGGCGTGGCCCTAAACAGAATAGTCAGCTCAGATTCCAAGAAGGCAGGTTCCATCACAAGCAACACAACATATATACAAAATACCAACTACAAACAAATACCACTGACCCTACAAAGAGAAGATAGTTATCAAAGAGAATACAGATTCACACAGTGCTCATTCCAGAAAGATAGAGAGTTGCAACATTATTCAGCCACAGGCAGCATTTCTCAAAGTGTTCTGAAGGGAAATAAAACCTTCTGAAGAAGTCAACTGACACTCAGTGTTTAAATATCATCCTCTGGGGGAGTGCAGAAATGGATATTGCAAGGAATAATGAAGGCCTCAGAGCAAAAACTAGACATCCTAGCTCAAGACTGTAATAAGGGTGGCGCCATCAGGGAATTCAGACTGGATTGCTCAGGGGACTTCTCTCTCTCTCTCTCTCTCGGTCACTCAGGGGAATCCTGATGCTCACGTCAGAATGCAGCATCTTTGTTTTAATTTGTTATATAACTTAATATGGGAAAACCTGATTTCATTGTCAGGACCCGAGATGAAAGGAGTTCTTCTCGGTAAACCCTTGCTATCCTAGAATGAAAGCCAACCTAATTACTCTGGTCTACCAGCCCCTTCACACTGTCCTCCTCCCCTTCTGTCTCCTCCCACATTCCCACAGATACTCTGCCCCAGCCGCATCGGTTCCTGCCATTCCCTAAACATGCCTAGGCTTGTGACCCCCAGATCTTTGTGTTTATGGTCCATTCTCCTCCTTTCCCCAGGCATTCCCTGACTCCTTGTGCTTTCCTCCAACTCAACGGCTTTGTCTTGTCCCTTATTGTGGCTCCGAGGCCTAGAAAGGTACCTGGTATCCATTAGGTGCTTGAATTAAGCTTGTTTCTCTGGCACTCTCAGAAATTTTATAAACTAACACTCCATAA